TAGTACCTAATACCTATTCAAATTGCTAATTAGTTTTTCAAGGGAGAAACCATCATAGGCCTGTGTAATTTGTCTAAAAAATTAAGCATTGTCGAAAAAGTTAAAATGGGGAAAACACTATATTTCGGCGCATTTCTTACCCGCTTTCGGCCGCCTTTAAATTTTAAAATTACATCCCTAGAAGCTATGTGTATAGGTATGTACATGTGTAAGCTTTGTTTTCAGTGCTCCTGCTACCTCAACAGCGCATTTAGTGCGTCCTTTACAGAGCTTTCAATTTGGAAGTGTAAATTTTGAAAGTCATTTTCGGCAATTATTCCTCCGAGTCGGAGTTGGCGAAACTTGTTGCCAAATTCAGCAGCATATAAAATACAATGTAACAACGACTAACAAGACCAGCTAATGTACAAATGTACATACGGAACATACAAACTGACACAGGGAGAAAAAGGTACTGCAATGCTTTAATTGTCTCGTTCTAACTGCGTTTGCAGGCAATGTTTGGCTTAAATTAGATTTCCAAGTCAAAAAAAAAAAAACATTACGGTTATATCAATTCGCTTGGGACAATGAATTTTGTGTTGCAGTGATTATTCAACAACTATATTGCGGTTTGCTTACTCGTTTGGAGAGTGCATAGATTGTAGCGGGTAGAAAAAATTGATGGTTAGATTAAAGGGGAAATTTATAGCAAGTTTGGTGTATCAAACTATTTTATAAATAAATGGCGGAGTTGAAATGCTGTTAAAAATTTAATATTTTCAGAGAAAATAATTTTTTCATACTTAAGTATATGTTTGCATGTACATATGTATGTACTACATATCGCACCTTAAATCAAAAACAGTCACAGCTCAAATAATACCAAATGTCCAAGAGAGACAAAAAACTGTTGATGCTGCGCTAGCGCCACAGGCAACACGAAAACTAGAAAATAATGATGAAGAAGAAATTTTGGTGGACGTTGGTATGTGAACTGTTTTATTTATTTATTTTTTTAAATTTTGAGTTGAGAATGTTTTTGATTTTGGGTACGACTTTTTCACTGTTTCGAAAATTTTTTCAGAGGCGACTTTTTTGAACCAGTCTAACGTATCTCGTTCATCTTAATGCATTGCGACTACAAATGTATTTTACCACAGAATAAACAGTACTGTTTATTCTGTGATTTTACTCAATTACATATGTAGACATGTATGTAAACACATACTAACATATTTCTTTATTTTTTCTTTCCGATTACAGCAACATACTTTTATTAGCATTAACTATCAATAAAAAACGGCAATTAAGTGAATAGTGACGCAAGTTGCACCAATCAAAGTGTGAACCAAGTGTCGCTGCACGCGAATTCAATATGGCTGATGTTTTGGAAAATTAAAAAAAAAAACAAACCTAGAGTGTAAAATAGAAATCAAATCTGCGTATAACTAGAAGAGAATAAATTGCGAAATACCAAGTGAAAATTGCAAAAATTTTAAATCTCTAACGTAAAATCGATAATTTAACTGAAAGTCTGACAAAACGTGCGCAAGATGTTGAGCATGTCGCATACGCCGATTCACACAATAGCCGCCAAAAAACGATTTCCTTTGCGATTGCGTACATTCCGCAGCGGAAGCGGATATGGCCGAAGGAACTTGCTCAGTTGCACCCACTACACATTGCTGCTGGCCACTGCTATCTTAGTTTTAATCAGTGCGCATGCCAAGAGCGCACTACTCTATGACAATAACAACAACGGTAACAATAGCATTAATATTAACAGCAATGCTGCATCAAAATATGCTACCGAGATGCCTCCGCTAGAGGCCACTCAAACAATGCCACAGCCCACAGAATTTGCGCCATTGTCCGAGAAAGTGGGGGAAACGGAAAAGTTGTTGCAACAGCAGGAAGATGTCGTAATTCCTGTGGACACTGTGGTCGTGGAGCAATCTATGGATGAGCGACTGCACAATAGCAATTCATATAATCATAAACAACGACAGGAGCAGGAGCACCATCAACTCAATCAGCAGCGGGAACGAGTTGAGCAACAGTCGCAATCGCAACACCAGCATAGCCACACGCATCACCATCATAATAAGCATCATCATCAGCAACAGCAACATCATCAGCACCATCATCATCATCACCACCAACAACAGCAGCAGCAGCAACAAGCATTGTTCGAGTCACAAATACACACACAGCCTCAGACTCAGCCACAACCGCAAAAACCATTTGAAACATTCGAGAAGGTACAGCACGAACCGGAAGTGGGTGGTTGGCAGCAACGGAAGCTGCACGCCCACTACCATGGTCACAACATGTTGCCTGGACCACAGCGGGGCGTCAGCG